CCCCCCCCCCCCCCCTCATGTTTCTATTCTCAAAACCCTGTAATAATCAGTAATCAACGAAAAGTGTTTTCATTAACAAATTTTTAAAAACAAAAAATCAAATTTTTGTAATTAAAAACGAAAAATTAAACATTTTCTCAAACCAAACAGCTCTTTACAAGAATCATCACCTAAGTCTAGCCTACAATAGAAAAATCCAAAATTGGAAACAACCCACACGAAAACCGAAACTTGAACCAACCCCGTTTCAAGAATGAACAACCAAAGCAACCCGAAGAAGTCGAAACCGGAAACGAACCTACGCAGCGGCAGTGATCACAGAAGGGGTGCGAAGAATGGTGCACGTGCTCTTCGATGGTGTAGAGAGGAGCCATAACGTTGGACTTATCGTGAATGAGAAGGGTGCACCAGAGAGAATTCCCGGCCACATTATAATCTTCGAGTTCACCAGCTTCTTGGAGGAAAACCCGAACGTTATCGCGGAAGGGACCCAACGGCGCAACGGGGTTACCGGGTTCGGCGAAGGAGTGAAACCTGAAAAACTTGGGCCACCGTTTTCGCTTCTTGCAGGCTTCGATGAGAGCGAAAGACATCGTTGAAGGTGATGGAAATGATGTGAGCTTCGATCGCGATCACCCTCGCATGGTGGTTTCGGTGCACCGTGAACGAGAGAGGAAGAAGACGGGTTTAACTGAACCAAAACTGATTCCGTTGGGTGTTTTCGCGCTTTATGCACTTCAATTGCGTTTTCCACCATTCTGCGCTCGGCAACACCCTTCTAATGCTGGACCCGACTATGGGAACCGTTGATGCTCTACAATCCACGCTCCCAAAGCGCTGAAAGTAAGTCAATGGTCAAATTCTTATTATTTCTATTCAGTTCCTTCATGGTCAAATTTAATGAGTAATAAATATTTTCATCTCTAGCTAAAATTGATGTGTTTCTTTTTTTCAAAAAAATTGATAAGTGCTTTTAAATTTTTAAATTTGGCGGTAATATGCATGGGATAAAAAATTATTCCGTTATTTAAGGAGAAACTAATATTTAAACCTTTAAAAATAAAATTTGTGACAAGTTGTTTATTTTTACTATAGACCATTTTTATGTGGTTAGAAACAATCATGTAAAGTTGAATAGGATTATTATCAATAATAAAACTCTTATTTAAAATATTTAATATAATTATATATTTAATTATTGATTAAGAAAAGAATTTAAATTCAAGATTATTGATTAAACTCAAACAATTTTATACTAATTGATTCACATATTCGTTGATACTCTTCTATTGACATCACATCGTATTTAGAAAATTTGAAGTTTTAAACGAATTTTATGAGTTATATTCTTTTTTGACAAACTAAGACATGTATTACCTAAAAGTTGAAGACTAATCTTTTGAGGTATTAAGATTCATATTTTTTATAAGCAAATAAAATTAAATTAAAAGGGAGTACAAGGGTACTCCAACCCATATAAACACAAGTTTGAGTTATAAAGAAATAAGAACTAACTGTCAATAGTTATTACATTAAAATCATATCCAACTTAAATAAATTGAAAACCTAACCACAAACAAATTACAACAAATATCTGATTATACCTACACATTACTAAAATGCAAATCCCAATTGTCCAATAGCACAGTAGAATATCATACATTGAAAAAGATCAAAACTAGTCATACGCAGTTAAGGCAAACCATAAGATATTCAAATCAAGTAAATAATATGTAGAAAAATGAGCAATCTTTGGTTGATATTAAGATTCATTTAAAAGATTAATTTTTCTTAACAAATATTTTTTATACATACTAACTAAAAATTGAACTTTCGATCACATACTTGAGAAACAAAATAATTTACCAATTATGTCACTCCTTATTAATTATGTTATGAGTCATGCTCTAATATAATTCATCATATTTATTTTATTCTTTTTAAACTTTTTAAACAATACACATCTATTGATTAATATTTAATAATCAAATAATTTTACATTTTATTCAATCATAATTCATTCGGTCATTATATCATAACATATATAATTTATCTCAATTAATTTTTTTAAAAAATATTTTAACAATGACTCTAATTTTAAATATTTTTAATACTATCTTATAAATATTGCATACATGTAAAAATATTATTTTAATATAATTTAATGTTTTAAACAAGACATTAATTTATTTTGTTAGTATTTATTTTAATATTTTCAATTTAAAAAATAAGTCAATACCACTAATACTAAATTAATGTTCATTAAAACTTAAGTTTATTTTAAATTAATATAATATTGTACTTTTTAATTTATTCCTTTTTAAATTTTTATTTATTAAGATTGATTTAAAAAAAATAAATTAATTTCATATTTTAATATTTGGTCAAATAAGTTAAGTATAAGAAAATAAATAAATTTAATATATAAAAAGTATCATTTAATAATTTAAATTAAAATAAAAATTTTAAATTACGTATAAAAATATTTGAAGAAGGATAAGACACTGGCTTCAGTTGTCTTGCCACTCTTACGGACTGATGACACTATAATTTATAAAATCAGATATGAAATGCATATTTTTGTGTTATTCTTAGACACTCACTTTTTATTATTATGTCATGTGGGTTTTATTAAAGAAAAAATAGATTCTTTTTTAGTCTTATCACGGATCTCTTTCCGTTTATTAGGCCGAACACTAATTTTTATATGTAATTCCATTTTCAGTGAAGCCCATTACTTGGAATTCAAACTGCTGAATCTGAATCTTGGCCCAATTTAACTGCTGGACTCCTTCTCCATCAAACTGGGTCCAGTTGAGTTGATATGGGGCTTTTGATTGAAAGTCAAAAGAAAAAGCTAGTAGTGGAAATATTATAGACAATAATTTCTCCTCTAAGTAGCTGCTCAGTTATTCATACACCATTATGAAGATTTCTTATTGGGCTCAAAGGGTGCTTTCAAAACATTTTCATAGTGCAATTCAACACCAGAATGAGAGTAAAGATTTTGGTATATTTACAAATAGAGAAAATCTAGCACCACTCAACAATTCTTGAATCCTTCATCGTGATTTCCTTTCCTTGAACCTCGATTAGAATTAATTTTATTGTACAAAAAGACGTAAATTCGCAATTTAGAGTAAGTTATGTCTTCCACTTCCATGGAAGGCTAAGTTGTATTACTCTCTGACTCAGTTATACACCATTGAGGTCTATTCAATTTAATGTGTCCCTGTATTCTAATCTTTATTAATTTGTTATGGTTGGTCACAAGCTTGTTTTCATGCTTAATGGTTTCGTTTTCAACTTAAACTGGTTTGCTTCATTCACGGTTTGCTTAATTTCGTGAACAGAGATAAGAATGCATGTTAATACTTTACTTATATGTGTTCAATGATGATAATGACGCTTAGTAGTTACTCAAACTTGAACTGGGGTTTAGATCAATAGGGTAATATTTCGAACCAATGATACAAGTATTGTAACTAAGTTTAAGAGTTGATGTGTACTATTCTGTTCACTTACTATTCTACAACCCCTCTCATTCGTGTTTGTTATGTACTGCGAGAACTTTTGATTGGCTTGTTGTTCCTTGAGAGAGACCACTTAAGTGCCACTTCTTAGTATTACAAAAATTACATTTCATTTGATCAGTACGGTCTCGATCAATGTCCACTTGCCCTTTGTTGACGAGAATAAAAATGATGCAATTTGATACAACCAGGCATGGATATGGCTATTGCTACATATATTATAGAGCTTCTGTGTCAGCATATTGGAACAGAAGCATCCATTACTCTTAAAGGTGTAACCATACAGCCTTTATTTCAACTTATTGGCAAACATGTCAAGTACAAATTGCTTTACTGAGAAAATACTAATGATTTTTTGCATTAGTAAAACATTTCTCTTGACACACTCTTTTATTAATTAAAACTTATTAAGAATTATAAAATTATCATCGATTCATTAAATAAGAAAGACACGGCAATTTATATGAATATGTAATTTTAATAAATTTTAATTAATAAGAAGTGTAATTAAATAGAAGTATGCTTCTAGCATTTTCAAAAACTGAAACTGTGCTATATATATATAGGTTAGATGGAGAAAAGGGCCTGAATTAATTAGGAAGCCATGAATCTATCGAAGACCAAAACTTAATATTCTTCCCATTACCCTCCACTCTAAAATAGATGCAACTTTTCTCTAAATGCAACAAATGCCATGTCTAAAAAACTTGAAATTCTGTGTATATATATTACTTTCAAAGAAAAGTCGAATTCATGTCTCTAGCTTGCCTCATTCCAAGACTACACACAGATTAACTAGTTTTTTTTTTTTTTTTTTTTTTTTTTTTTTTCAAAAGACAGGGTAATAATGACGGGAGTTATGAAGATCACGCCAAAAGAAATTCTACATTTTCTGTCGATGTCATCAGAAATTTTCGAAGGAGTGAAAGAGACTTGCATTGACATAACTGATCATTTTAACAAGCTGTCCCTCCTTGTTCCCATCACTATAGATAAATAACTTACTTAAATGTACATGACTAGTTCTTATCACATGAAATTATGAAATGATATCAAACTTCCCATGAAATCATCATTGAAATTATGAGATTATTTTTCGTGATTGAGAATTATTTTAATATGAGTATGTGGGAGCGCAAGTGTTAAAACAACGTTAGGAAGACGTTTCTTACTTTCCAAGGCACGAGGAAAGAAATTTCTTGCTTCTTGGAATTTTTATTATTTTAGCAGCCAAATCATTTTCTTACTTTAGTCTGTTGACCAAATGGATTCGATGACTCTAGACTAGAGGTAAGCACGAGGATTCTTCCTTTCTGCTGCCTTGTTTAACAAGTTGAAGACTTTCCATTAAGACTCTCACCACTATAAATTTACCACTCTTCCATTCCATTCTCATACCATTAAAAAAAGCTTGAACTAAACTTTGGCGTCTGAATTTTGTGGAGCAATTACTTAACCATGAATATCATCAGAGTGGGAGTACTTATCTTCTCAACCTTGCCTTTTTTAAGCTGCTTCATGGAACTTTTTGTTGCTGGCACTGCTTCTCAACCTGAGGAAAATAAGTTGAGCAAGGAGAAAGATGTATCAATCACTGCTAATGTGGCAGCCCAAAAGCACTTTCGACAAATTCAACACACATGTTAATAAGGGGGTCTAGGATTAAAGTTTTGGAGGTAATATAGTTATAATGTTTTGATAATATTTAGCAATCATATAATGTTGTTTGACTTTTAAAAATTGTGGGGAGAGTATTCTCCAATCTTCTTTATGGTGCTAAGCAAAAGTTTGGCCACAATATATAAAGTGTAAACCTTAATCGATTGTAGTCCAAGTACTTCTTGTATTGTATTAGCTGATTATAAGTTTTGTTGACTTTTTTGTGTGCAAGAAAATTTAATACTGGCTGGTCCACAAGTAGTGTTGAAGTTCAGAAACAAGTGATAGAGATTGCAAGAAAACCAAAGAACTGTGACCAAAACATTGTTATTCTTAAGAATGAACGTAGAATACAGAACATTATTTTCTTAATAGTGATGATAAAGTGCAAACTCAAAAACCACACATAACTAAATCTAAACCAAGTTACAAAAATATTGTCATATATATCGCATGTTCTATATAGTAATACATTATTCGATGTTAAAAACTATTTTTATTTGTACTATAAATA